TTCTTTATCAATAGTAGGCAATTTGGTTGTGCATTCTGCATTACTCAGTCAAACAACACAGGAAAAGTGTTTCCTTAGATGAATATTACAGCAATATTACAGCATTTAGCATCTGAAAATTAGCATTACCTTCCTGTTGTAGCTGAGCCAGAAAAAGTGCAAGGTAGGTATCAGATATTAGTTCTGGACCGGTCAAAAGAGAGTTCAAGTTGAACCACTGTTCAAAGAAAGAAAATTAACACGCAGTGTGATTATTAATAATATATTTTAATACATAGCAAAACATATACCTATTACCGGGATTAAAACAATTAAGTAAATATATGGTATATGCAATGAAAGATAAATAAAAGAACTATTTTGTATTACTACCCTGTTTCCCTGAAAATAAGACCTATACCAAAAATATGCCCTAGCATGTTTTTCCGTGTGCACCTAATTTAGGCCCTACCTCAAAATAAGCCCTACTTAAGAGCCTGCACAGCTGGCCAGCCGCCCATTACAGCTGGTTGCTTGCAGTGCTGCGGCCATGAGGTGAGGTGAGGGGTGGAGTTGCCCCACACATCTCGCACCAGCTTACTTCAGGGCCCCCGCAGCCAGGCCACCCATACCTTGCCTCATGGCCGCGGCACCAGCATGTCGCTTTGCCTCCTGCTCCTTTGTGGTCACGAGCAAGCAGAAGAAGTGGGCCAGCGGCCATGCAGGGTCCTGCTGGATGGGGCTGCTGGAGCTGCCATCGTGAGGCAAGGCAGGTATCTCGGCATGGGTGGCCTGGCTGTGCGGCCCTGAGGTAAGCCGGTGCAGAGCATATGGGGCAGCTCCATGCCCCCAGGTCTCACAATGGTGGCACTGGCACACTGTGCAGCCTTCTGCCGCGCCACAAGCAAGAAGAAGTAGTGGGCCTCTCATACGTGGGGAAAAAAAATAAGATGCCCTCCAAAAATAAGCCCTAGTATTTATTTTGTGGCCGAAAAGAAAATAAGACCTGGTCTTATTTTTGGGGAAACATGGATATGATATTATTTGTATAAATCTGGTGGCCTGCAAACAGCTTGTCAGATACAAAACTCTTAGTCTCTTCTAGTCATTCTCAGATAGTATATACAAGTTAATGGATGCATTAACATTTAGTTATGGGGGAAAAAACAAGGCTGTAATCAAAGGAATGCCTTGAATACATAGCAGGAAACTTAATACATTGCAGTTGCTGCTTTAGAAACATTTATTGCAATGCAAATGCCTGGTTTTAAATTAGAAAAACTGATGAATCAGAAACATCAAGGGAAAAAATCTGGCTACTCCTATCTAATCTACATATTGCTAAAACTTTCCTTTTTGTCTCTTTTAACCTTCAATTAGCAAAACGATGCATCATAGGGCAACAATTTTTGAATCAAGATATCTGAAATATGTTTTTAAATTAAAAAAATGTGTACAAAATCCAGGACCCATTACTCCCATGGATTTGAAATTTCAAATATCTTAAGATGCGGCTATTGCAGCAACACCACAGTCAGCTGCAGTCACGTGATTGTGATTTCCAATGCTCTCTGCCAGCTTCCCAAAAAGTCAGTGAGGAAACTGGCAGGAAGTTGGAAATCACTCTCGTTCCCACTGCTGTTCTGGCGACCCATGGTTGTCTTATATTTAGGTAAGTAAATATTCATAAAGGATGATCCAAAAGGTTGTAGGTTGTCTAATACACCTACATTAGACATGAATGAACATGAATATTCACCTACAATACTGAATAGTAGGAACAAAGCAGCTCTGGGAAATAACATTTTGAATAGAGCCAAAATATTTCATCAATTGAATCTATCTACCTACCTACCTACCTACCTACCTACTTACAGTATCTATCTATCTATCTATCTATCTATCTATCTATCTATCTATCTATCATCTACCTACCTACCTACCTACCTATGTATGAATGCAGTGTTTGTCATTAGACAGGCACTAAATTTTGACAGAATTTATAGCAGATTCCAATGACAAACTTGACATCGATTTTAAAGAAGGAAAATAAAGAACTTTACCTGTTTCCCTAATTTTCGAACTGTAAACCAGTGCTCTTTATAGTTACAAATAAAAGATCTTTCATTTCTGAAAATAAATCACAAAGTATTCAGAGAATTAAATATTTGAGCACAGAAATATTAATCAGTGTTACCATTTTTGCATTTAGAAACACCATACTGTAGTATTAAAGCTATCATTCGGATTATGTGAACTTTTCATCCACAGATAGTTCAGAATATTTAGTAATATTGTTTTGGAGATATATTAATCATTACATATGCTTGATAAATACAGACATACTGGTGATGTCATTAAGCAGATACCATTCAAAAGCAGCATTCTATAATGCTACGGATATTGAGATGTCATGAAGGCTCAGGGGACAAATGAACATGTAAGGCCTCAATAATATGAAACAGAAAATGCTGAGCGGATAAAACCAGAACTTGAAATAGTAATTTTCAAAAGGAGTTCTGAAGGAAAGGATAAGGGTTTTTTTTTCCTTGCATAACTGTTACTATTTTTTAAATGGAAGCAGGGAGCTAAAAAATAAAGTCTTACATAGGTTCGATCCCGAGCCTCTGATACTCTGGGCTGTTGAAGAGGATTAGTTCTAAACCCCAAACTTTCAAGGCATTGCTTATAACCTGTCAAAAAACAGCACTTTTCATGAGATAAATCAGTCAGTTATAAAATGTAAGCAATGCAACCATTTTAGAACTATAAAGACAAATATATTAACTAAATTCAGACACAGTCATACTCAGAACAGACCACTGAAATCAATGGAACTCCAGTAGTCAGGACTAAAATCACATTGATTTTAATTGGTTTGCTCTGATTAAATCTGGACCCATCCTATTGTTTCCACTAAATTTGAGAGTGGGGGAACAACCATATTTCATTAAAAGAAAATCACTGGACTAAGTTAATTAAGAATTAACCTTCATGAATCTACACTGAGCAGGCCACATATAAAATACATTTAAGGGAGGATAACAAATATACAATTTGAAAACTAATTTGGTCTTTCAGAAAACCAAATGCATTTGCAGGGAAAATGATAGGAAGAAAAAAGAAACAATTTGATTTTCCCCCCCAAAAGTCACATTATACACCTGAGTTGTTATTATCAGCAGCTATATACAATCAATTTGCTCTGGAAGCATCAATTTTATTCTGACTGTCAGGTCATTATGTGTAGCTGGTAAGATATTTAAAACCTATTGGTCTAATTCTTTATATAGTGAAATCCCATTTTAGCTGACTATTTTAGGGAGGAAGTGTCCCTAATTCAGGAATATCTTTAAACACATAATACATTATTATACCGATAGGTGACATTTGTGTGAATGCATGATTTATATCTTTACCCAAATTACGATGCAAATGCTGTAAATCACTGTAGAAATTTAGTTCTTTGTGAATGAGTCTGCTGTAATGAGATCTATAAACTATAGTTTTACTTAATATTATAAAATACATTCATTTTTTCAAGGACAAGATATTAACAACCATTTTAAAATGTCAGTAAAATAATTAAATATTGAGTAACTATTCTAAGGATGTTTTTTTCAAAAGGCAACTGGACTTTCTTTGTTCTTTCTTGAAGACATTTCACTTCTCATCCAAGAAGCTTCTTCAAGTTCTGACTGAATGGTGGAGAATGGAAGGATTTATATTCCTATAAATATTCTCGTATGATACCACTGATCTCCTGTTTACAACATAGTCCTATCAGCAATTCCAAGAAGGTTCCACATCCATTTGCATTATTAAGATCATCCTGAGGACACAGATAAACTTCCAAGTAACCTCAAGAACTCCTAGAGAAAGTGCTAGCAAGCAGATGATTGCAACGAATATAAATCCTTCCATTCTCCACCATTCACTCAGAACTAAAGAAGTTTCTTGGATAAGAAGTGAAACGTTTTCAAGGAAAAACAAAAGAAGTCCAGCTGCCTTTTGAAAAAGCACCTTTAGGACAACCATGACCCAGATGACTGAGAATCTCCATAGACATGTTGAGTGACTATTTTCATGAGAGGTATATTTCTGGACATCACTGAGTCCTACTAAAACTCAGTATATTCTGCATATTTTGGACAAAGTAGTCCATTTGTTCTTAAATTTCTTGTTTGAAATACATTATTAATATAAAATTTGTTTGCCAACTATTGGGAAATTAAAGAGAGAAATTCACCCTGCTTCACATTTTGTAGAAGAGGAGAAAATAAACACAATCTATAGAAAAGTATAATGATAAATTGCAGATCAAGTCTGCCACCTTCAGTGATTTCAAACTTGAAACAAATATAGTCAGCTTTGGATAAAGTTTACTTTGTTGTTACAAACTACTGTACTTTGCAGAGCATATATACTATGTAACGTACATGGCTCTGAAGTCTTTGTTCCTAGTTTACTTATTATTTATTTAGCCTAGTTATTACATACAACAATCTATCCCAAAGCAGCCTACTATAAGGACAAGATAAATACAGATATTCCTCAAAATATAACTATTTGTTTAGTGATCATTCAAAGTTATAATGGCAGTGAAAAAAATGTCTTATAACTAGTGCTCACACTTACTGTGTTTCCCCAAAAATAAGACCCTGTCTTATATTTTTTGAACCATGAAATAAGCGCTTGGCCTTATTGCCATGTGCTCAAAAGCCCGATTGGGCTTATTATCAGGGTATGTCTTATTTTGTGGGAAACAGGGTACAACTGATGTAGTATCCATGTCACATGATCAAAATTTGGGCACTTGGCAACTGGCATATATTTAGGATGGCTGCAGTACCCTGGGGTTATGTGATCATCATATGTAACCTTCCCAGTCAATTTCTGACAAACTCAATGGGGGAAGCCAGACTTGAAGTGATTTCTGAAGTGATTTCTTTAACAAGGTAAAATTGGACATGACTCACTTAACAAATGCTTTGCTTGGCAATTGTCCCAATTGTGACTGTATGTTAAGGACAACCTGTAATTAATTATACAGGGATGTTGTACCAGTATGTGAGGATAAGCTTAGTTATGGGAGGGGAAAGAGATGCTGCCAAAGAGAAAGTAGAAGGTTTGTACTATTAGACTTACATGATTCTGTTAATGTAATCTTACAATCAAGTAGAATTAGCTCATCTGGTCATGTTTCCTGTCCTGTTTACCTGGAAATGCTGACATCAATTTTGAGTAGAAACTGTGCATGTGTGTATGAGCACATATTTGCACACAGAGAGAACCGGTTTTATCTAGGAAGCAAGTTTGCTGCAGTGATTAAGGCACCAGGTTAGAAACCAGAAGACTAAGTTCTGATCCCACTGTAGGCTTGAAAGCCATCTGAGTGACTTTGGGCCAATCATTCTCTCTCAGCTCAACTCACTTTATAAGGTTCTTGTTATGAGGAAACTAGGAGAAGGGAGGAGTATTAAGTATGTTTGTTGCTTTGAGTTTTTCTATAAATGTCATAAAGGCAGGATAAAAACTTCAATATCAATCTACCGCTGTCTATTTTACAGCTTGAGAAGTTGGTGAGGTTCCTTTCTGAGTGTCTCTCTCTCTGCCTATTATGCAGCTGCAAGCTATGCCCTCTCTTATTTGATCATTCCCTAGCTGCATCTTTTCTCTCCATCTCCTGAAGTTATTCCCACATGTTTATGTATGCAAACTTTTCACTTTGTAATGATTTATTTGGAAAATATAAATACTATACACATATACCTTATAAAAAGTACATTTCCACCATCCTTGATGTATAATACAGAGGAAGATTTTTATTAATTACATCATTATAGATAAATAAGCTCATATGTTTGTCCAGAAAAAAACTTTTTCTAAAATCCCAAAGGACAGCTTAACTGGGTCAGGGGGAAAAATCCAAATAATGTATTACCTTATCAGTTTGCCCTGGGAAAATCTGTCCCATCCTAACTTATGTAGAAAAATTATATAAATTATTAGAATGCTAATATTCTACTGAAAATCAGTGGGATGTAAAAGCATGGAAGCTATTTACAGAATTGCAATCACAATGTAGATTTGAAACATAAAGAACTCTCTGTAACCATGGATTTGCTCCTTGTACATTTTGGGATGCATTTACTTTAAGAAATGTATTCACTGAGCACAGCTGTTTCCTAAACAGCTTTAAAATAGGAGCCCAGGGTATTTCAATAAGCATTTTCAAATGTTGTATTCTAACAAAGTTTTCACAAATTATAGAGCAACTGCTTACTTGAATTGAGAAGAAACCACTATCATCCATGTTTCCTGAAGGTTGCTGTTCAACAAAGAATGCAAAGGAAAGAAGATTAATTTATGTGCTACAGAAACTTTTGGAAAATCATAGGTAGAGAATAAATTCAGTTAATCTTAGTAAATCTTAAACTTTATTCACACTAAAAATACTTTTAATGAACCATTCTGAAGGCATGAGAACAAAGGTAACATTCTTGGATTTACAGGTTATGTCAATGAGAAACAGCAGATAAATTATGCAACACCAAGCAAATACAAGAATCTAGTGATTACTTTGGTAGCCTTTTTCATTTTGCTCTTTGTATTTAAAAGCAGCATGGGACAAAATAAATTCTGTATCTGAAGTTCTCCAGTTTCTAAAAAAATCTTTAAAAATGGTAAACAGAAGTTTCACTAAGAAATTGACTGTAATTCTAATACCGTGTTTCCCCAAAAATAAGACCCTGTCTTATATTTTTTTGAACTCCAAAATAAGTGCTTGGCCTTATTTTTGGGGAGGTCTTATTATTTTGGGGCGCGTGGAGCAAGATGGGGCTCCTCTTGCCGTCTTACCTGATTTCCAGCTCTGCATTGAAATATTTTCGGGAAGGGCTTATTTTCGGGGAGAGGCTTATTTTAGCGTATGCGCTCAAAAGCCCGATTGGGCTTATTATCAGGGGATGTCTTATTTTCGGGAAAACAAGGTACAGGTAGTTCTCATCTTGCAACAGTTCATTTAGTGACCAAAGTTACAACAGCACTGAAAAAACTGACTTACATCTCAATAGTCATGTGACCAAAATTCAGATGCTTATCACTTAGCAACAGAAATTTTGAACTTCATTATGGTCATAAGTTACTACCTGTATACAGGGCCGGATTTAGATGAAAAGAGGCCCTAGGCTATTCCACTTATGAGGCCCTTTCACCTATAGTGAAAGTGTAATTTTAATTTTGCTAACAATTTGAATATAGGCCCCTCTTGATCTTGAGGCCCTAGGCTGAAGCCTAGTTAGCCTATAGGAAAATCCGGCCCTGCCTGTATATCTGGAAATGCTATTCTAGGAAGGAGAATAGATAACTTTACATTTCATCATTCTGAAATTCAGCTTCAATATAAGCTCTTTCAGTAAGAAAATATGCAGAACAAAAACTGGCAAATAAATGTAAAACCACCTGAAGAGCTGTTACCTGTAAAAATGTTCTATATTCTTCGCTAGAAACTCCACCCTCTGCCATTCTTATTCTCTCTTCTTCATCTAACTGCTGTGCAATAGAAGACAGTTCCACAGGACTGAAATATTCCCCTTGCAGTAAATTATTCAAACAATGCTGGGCACACAGAGAACCTTCTTGCTAAATTATGAAAAAAAAAAGGACAATATTGTATGATCTTTTCATGTTTATTGTTCAAAAACCAGAGCAAATATAATCCTTTTTTTTAATTTTTTTTTTTTCAACATAATAATTCCATCTTCAATTAAACAGTGTGTCGTCCAGGGACAGATATCTTTGTAAAGTAATAATCAAAATTTATAGCAATATTCATTACTTTAAAATTAATTCTATAATATTAAAATAATATTAAACATAATAATCATAATATTTGTTTCTTTCTCTTAACATATCTTCATTTCACTAATCTTTTTCTTTTGTTTCCCTGTTTCTAACTTCTGATTTTATTATCTAACCATTGATTAAAATAAGTCCCATGTCATGTAATATTCAGTTTGTTCTTTTTCCTTGATTGCTAGCATTAGTCTATTCATTTCTGCACATTCTAATATTTTCCTGATCACATTCTCATCTGTAGGCTCATTGTTTCCATTAAACCATTCAGCTACAATTATGCCTATGCATGCATATGTACTTGTACACACAGTATTTATATATAAGTATGTACCCAAACAAGTCCAACTAGTTCTGCATGCAATTGCAGAAACACATTCATAATCTTTATCATTTAAGTTTCCTAAATTACATCTTTAGTTTTCCAACATAGCTTTTTTATTGTTCCAGCACATTAAGCCATACATAATACTGACTATAACCTATTTTTATTACTTATTATCAAGAGAAAACATGCACATCAGTCAACTGTGATATATATCTGGTTTAGCACTAAATAACAATTCTAATGTAAAATTAATCATAAGAAAATCAGAAGCATGAATTTATAATATATAACATGTATCTGTTTCTAAACATAAAAGTCGCATTTCTCCACGAGGACTGAAGTATAGGTATTAAGGTTGTACAAAGCAGAAGGACTTTAGTAGAAATCATGATCAACAACAGAATATTATTGACTATGATTTAAATTATTATAGTCTTTCTTTCTGATTAGTTTAAATCAATATGACTTAGACCAAACTTCTCCAGCATTAAATAACTCTCAGTATCAATTGGTAAACAACATAGATGCCAAAGTGCTATTACACTCATATCCTGCTTGAAGGCATTTGGTAGCCCATTGAAGAAATGGGACTAAGCTTCTTAATACAGCTCTTTCTCGATTCTCCGACCTAAACATACCTAAAGAAAAGCATTTCTATACATTCCAGAGTAGCTAATTTTTTTTCCTTCATGCCAGAGGCACCCAACCCTCTGCGATGTTTTTAGGGACATACAGCTCTTGGGAGGGGCAAGCAATTAGCAAATTTATGTTATGCTTAAAAATGTTCTTCCTTAATAGCTAGATTAGTTGAATACCATTACTTAATGCTATTAAATCTCTGCCCTCTTTCCAAAACCTCAGAGAAAATCTGTTTGACAGGAAAATGACAATCTTATACCATTTCTGACAAGTGGCTGCCTTCAGAATCAATCTGAAATGTAACATTTTATCTTCCCCAAAAAATTTACATCTAGAGATGTCAATACTACACAAAACAAAGATGGAAAAGAAACCCAAACCATTCTCTTCCTCCAGCAGCAATTATTCAGGTTATACATAATGTTGATGTCAAGGAAAAAGGGATCATATTAATTAATGGCAGAGATTCATGGGGCACACAAGTTTCAAAACAACCAGTTCCATCAGTAAGGCAGGAAACAAAATCATGTACTGTGTATCATTCTGTGTGTATAAACACAAATAGCTGAAAGGAAACACGGAGTGTGTGTGTGTGTGTGTGTGTGTGTGTGTATATATATATATACATACATACATACATACATACATATACATACACACACACACACACACACACACACACACACACATATGCAGCAGCACCTCATATAAAAGGTTAGTGTTTAGTAACACCAATTCATGTGTTCTGGTCCTCCATGTTCAGCTCTCACTTCCTTGTCTTTTGCTCAATGATCCTGCCAGCATGGTTAAGGGGCGACGATGCTCCGAAAAGATTCACTAGTAAGCATGGGAGAGAAAACGCTTCCTTGCACCACCCAGCTACAGGAATATACTTTACAAGTATCACCTTAAAGAGCAGGCGTCCGTTTTCAACAAACGTGACCGCTTCGACAGGCGACGGGAAAGGAAACAATGTTTCAAAAGCTCAGACCTTTATCGTAACAACCGTCACCACCACCACCACCATCCTCTCCTACCTATTGGAAACCCTTCACCCGCCTTGCCTTTCTAACTACCTCCGAATCACAAGAAATTGGGCTTTATTCTTATTCTTCCCCTCGGCAGCTTGAATACAAAAGTATAAAAGACTAAAAAGAGATTTTCGTAGCCTTTGAACGACCCAAGGAACCGAAACGGGAAAGTTTCGCTTGCCGGGCAAGCTCCCCGCGAGCCGCTTTTCTTTCCTCTCGCTTCGCCCTTTTTTTTAACCTCACACCCCACCTTCCGTAAGGGAAGGCAAGAGGCTCACTCACCCTCTCGTGAAAGATGGCCTCCATGTTTATGTGTCTCCCACCGCCACCATCGGCTCCACACCACATGATCCGACCCAGCCAATCAAACCACGCTCTGCTCCGTGACCTGCTGCAGCCAATCGCCGAGGCTTACCTCTGCGTTCCGCCGAGCTCCCCTTGATCCGCCTCGATGAGCGCAACAAACGCCCCGTAGTAGTCCGTCGCAACGCTATGCGCGCCTCTTGCTGTCGTGCTCCGGCGTCGCCTGGGGTCGGGGAGAGGAACAGCGGACAGCGCCGGGGGTGGGAGACCCCGCTCGGGCGGGCTCGGGTCGTACCAACAGCGGGGCATTTTCAAGAGGAAACGAGGATAGGAAGGGCAGCAATAGGAAAAGAACGCAGCTCTTATTTGGGTCGGAATAATAACTGAGTTGGAAGGGACTTTGGAGGCCATCTAGTCCAACCCCCTGCACAAGCAGGAGATCCTATACCATTTCTGACAAGTGGCTGTCCGGTCTCTTCTTGAAAGCCTCCAGTGATGAAGCACCCACAACTTCTGAAGGCAAGCTGTTCCGTTGTTTGATTGTTGGAACCATCAACAATTGGTCGCAATGGTTTGCTATCACTGCGATTTTATACTACCGGTTTTTCCGCTTTGATGTGGAGGGCTACCAAATCTGGGTTGCCAAATGTAGTTTTCTATTATTCTCTTTCAGTTTAACGGTCGCCACAACTTTGGCAGCTAAGATATAGTAGCCCTAGATTTAAAGATCAAAATAATCTTTTTGTGAGGTGGTGCTCAGTTATAGTGTGATGAGTGCACCTTTGGAGGACTTTAAAAGAACAGTTTAGAGGCAAATGAACAGACTACTTTTCGAAGAAAAGGACATCTGCCTAGCCAGCCAAATCAACTGTGACAATGAATGGAGTAATAGATGTCAGTTTGTCTGACATCCAAAACACACTTAAACTGTGATTTGTTTAGCTGATTTCAGTAATTATAATTGGTTGGATTTATAATGTGCCAAAGCCTAGCATGCTAAGTTTTCTATAAGCACATATTCAATATAGTATGTAAGTAACAGACACCAAATATTTTAAAGAACTAAATATTACAGTCACCATAAAATATAACACCCCCCTAAAGGTAGTATCAATAATATTTTGTAAAAAAAATAATAATACGTGTTTTAAATCTATTTCAGGGTACTTTTATTTAAATGCACAAAAAGACCAATTGTCAAGGAAGAAATTCCAGAAGAATTTATGGAGAAAATATACATAATTGTATCTGATCCCTACCAACTACAATCCTATAGTTTACAGGGTGTAACTATATCCTCTGAAGCTGACTGAAAGGTTCAAACTCAGAGAGACTAACAGTTTCTCAGGAACACACTGTACCAAACTTCTTAATACTATATCACCCTTACTTCAAATTGTATGTTTGAATGACATCATGTAGTTGGGGCTACATACTTTTTTAGTAATCCTATGCTGAACAAAGGTTTTTTGAACAAATAGATTCTATTTTCATTATGGAACAATCACTTATTCAAACTGTAGGGAAATCAACTCTCATTTGATGCATTATTTCCATATGACATCTTCACCAGGTTTTAATTCCCTATAAAAAAAATAAAATATTACAATTTTAAAAATAAAGTATGACAGATTGGAACATTATACATTTTAAAATAGGCTTAAATAATTAGCTTTAAAGATGGAAAGCAAAGATAGAGTGGACAGGTATTCTCTAAATACAATTATATGCATAATTAGCTTCTTCTTGCAAATGTTTGTGAATAGTTTCTCCCATTTGGTATTTATTTTTTTAATCCCACTTTTATTATTTTTTAAGGCAGAAAATATACCCAACACACCCTCTTCCTCCTATTTTCCACAACAAAAATCTTTGAGGTGGGTTGAGCTGAGACAGTGATTGGCCCAAAGACACCCAGCCAGTTTTCATGCCTAAAGACAGGACTAGAACTCAGTCTCTCAGTTTCTAGCCCGAGTTCCCCATGTTGTCTACATCCAGAAAAATGGATGTATACATCCCAAAAATGACTGTTTTGAATTTTCCTGCTGCAAAACTTATTTCACCCCCTTCCATCCACAGCTGCACATATGTGAAACAAAATGAGGATATAAATGGATAGGGAAAACTAAGTCTTCCTCCATTCAATGTACAGAGCTTTGCTTTCAGCTGCCTCACATTTCCCCCAAATTATATAGCAATAGGAATAGCATTTAGATAGCCACCAAAAAGATGGATTGCAATGTATCCAAGATGCTACTGCTGATATAATTAGGGCAGCTGATTCTCTCAACTGTGTAACAGAGAGAACAAGTTAAGTCACCTATTATTTTTACTAACTGAGGGATGTTCTGTAAACATATTCCAAGGCTAAGCAAGGATTGAAGGGTAAGAGGAAGAAAAACGTTTAAAGCATTAAACAATCTGATATAAAAGTTGAAACTTAAGGAAATCTGCAGCATTTGCAAATAGGGTAAGAGGCGGTGACACTTTATTTTAAATTCTAGAATTGGTGAAAAAATAACAAGGCAAATCTTTCTTTACAGATAAATTTAAAGTCAATAGGATAATACAAGCAAAGGAAGTTATGGAAGCAATGGCAAAGAGAACATCCTAATAAGCTTTAGCACAGTAATCAAGAGGTGAAATAAGTCTATTAAACACAGATATTCACAATAGTTATTGAAATATAGGTACTCAACAAAAGTTAGTAACAATGAAAAAGAAAAGAAGGAAAGTCAAGTATAGAAGAACAAGAAGAAAATGAGGTACAGTAAATTTGTCATTTTCTAAAGCCCAAGATAGCCATGAGTAAAACAAAGGGAATGAGAGAGGCATATTTTTGGAACTAAAGTAACATAAAATAACAAAATATAACAAAGAAAGATACTATATAGGAATATGACATTTTCAGAATCTTGTACTTGGTTCTAAACTTTTAGGATGAGGGTAAATATACCGCTCAAAAAAATAAAGGGAACACAAGCAGAAGACATCCGAGATCTGAATGAATGAAATAGCCTTATTAAATACTTTGTTCTTTACATACAGTTGTTTATACACTGCTCAAACAACTAAAGGGAACACAAAACTACTGTATGTAACAAACGAAGTATTTAATAAAGCTATTTCATTCATTCAGATCTCGGATGTCTTCTGCTTGTGTTCCCTTTATTTTTTTGAGCAGTGTACTATTATTAGGCTTAGAAATAAAGCCATGATGCAGAGATTCATTTTCATAATCGTCGTATCCGTGCTCAGAAATATTACTCTACCGAATTACAAGGGTGTCTTACTGCAACTATAACAAACTTCTTTGTAAAGGTTGGAAATAAGTTTTTCCCACCAATCATCTTTCTACATGTATTTTAATTTAGTACTATTTTTTATTCTTTTAATTATATATTATGTATGTAACTGCTATTTCTATTATGAACTTTTTCATCTGCCTTGGTATAAATCAGTAAGGATAAATATTACTCAGGTATGTCTAGGAACACAATAACCATATTTGGTATTACCGGTATGTATAGCTTCAAACCATATTTGGAGCAATACTATACATAACATATTACAATATAAATTCTTTAAAGGAAGAATTTAATAATTGTGATCTTTTACACGCATCAATAAAAATGCAGTAGCAGCTATATTTACCAATACTTTTCTCAAGTATACTTTTCAGAAGCAATTTCATCATCCAGAAAGAATAAGGTGCTTGTAAAAAATCAATTAAAATAATTAACCTTTGATATAATTTGCTCTTGTTTCTGAACATTGCCAGTTTCTCATCATTCCTCTTGTCAAAGTACCACCCCACCAAGAATCCTATTGGACACAATGCAATGGGCCAGTGATCTCGTACCAAGTGAATAATATTCATGGTAGTTACTATGAAGAAAAAGGACAAAGAAAGGATTATAAGTAACAACATATTTCCACATGAGCATCATTGCTTATAATAAAAAATGAGAACTATTTGGCTGCATGTTCACTGTTATTGTGAAACAAGTCCTACTGGATTGATGTGAATTATGGAGGAAACATAACATTTTATGTGGACAATATTTTATTTTAACTTAAAATTTTGCCTGTAGCATAGATGGTGGTATAGAAGTATCCACAAATGCTGGCATTTGTAAAATGATGAAACATGTATGGGGATGTCACAATGCAAGCTTTCCCCTTACATATGATACAAATACATAAGGAGCCAAGTTTGTATCAAATGTATCCATCATTTGCCAGGCTTGCCCCATACAGACTTCCTTGTAATAGTGGAACAAGTCAAAGGAATTGCACTTGATAAAAAATTAATGTAATTGAAATGTGCAAATCCTGTGCACAAATCCCAAAACTTTGTAATCCCAAATACATAAATATTTTGATGTTGTTTACTATATTCCATTTTGTAAATTTACTGTCATTTACTATAGTATAATACAGATTAATGAAAAGTCCAAAACAGATGGTGATGATGATGATACCGTAATAACAACAACCACACTTTGTTGTGGCATTAAAAAGAATTGCCAACCTGTCCTTCAAACAGAACTGCAAACATTTCACTTAACTTGCCTCATTCAATTAAAAAAAAACTTCTAAAAAATCTGGGAGCTACAAAAACAAAAGGCCACTTTCCATCAGTTTTATTCAGTGTTTTGGTATTATGTTTTAACTGTATTCATCCAGAATTGTAGTTATATGGAGAGGGGGATTTGTGATGGGTGGGTATATAAATCTAATCAATCAGCTTTATTTCTAAGAATCTACAGGCTCCACATGTATTCTTAGAAAGTTTTTTTTAAAAAAAGGATGGCTTGCAGCCTAATGCTTTATTAGTGGAATTCCTTTTCTATTGCAGAGTTGTATTGCATTCTGAAATGGGTATTTAATTCCCAGTCTGCTCCAGATGCAAGCAAGCTGTCTAACTCCTTTCTCACGGGAGAAACTTATACTAGGAAGAAGTCCCCTTCCCCAATGTATTTTGCCCAGAATATGATTGTCCGCCCTGAGCAACCAACCCAGGAATGCATCTTATTTGGGCATAGATGATACTAAGCTACACATGCATCCAGTCTGAATTAGTGGTTGAAAAAATAATGTGATAGAAGCCCCAGATCTTGCAGTGTATGGCTTCGTACATGACACGTCCACTATTGGCAAACCAATGTGGCCTCCAGTCTCCCCTCATCAATCCCTCTCTGACTCTTCCCCCTGCATTCACCACAACACTAATCTTACCGGTCCAGACGACCTAGGCCTCATCCAGGGTCAAGTAAACCCAAAACGACCTCACAGTTTACCGCTGAGGCTTCGGAAAGCTAGGTATCCGGGAGGAACCATTAAGACGAGCAGGAAAGGAAGGGCGGATAAAGCTATTTTACTTCACGCATCCCCTTGGGGGGGGTCAATGTATTTTTTTTTGTTTCCTTAAAGCATGGTTAGAAATTCAATTCAGGTGGATGATATATTTATGCCTCACGATAGCATTGACGGTGCTTCCCCCCCCCTTAACTGCGTAGGTAGTACAATCCAGATTTCTCTTTCCTCCCGGCGGCTCCACCTCTTCCAACGAACTTGCCGGTTTCTTACCCCAAAATGGCGGCGGCGGTGGTAGTCGGAGGCAGGGCTGGGGGTGACTGAATGGGCACGTGCGGGTTTTTCTTTTCTCCTTTCCCTTTCCCAATAAATGTGGGTGCCCGGAGGTAACCAGGGGTGCTAAACAGGTAAGAACGAAGTAAGTGTATCGGAGGGCAGCCGCTTAAGGGATACTTGGATTTCCCCTAGTGCGGCTCAGTCCTCAATGAACACGGCTCATGACTCCCCGCTTTCCTTCCCAAGAAGAATTAAGGCGACGGGTACAACAGCTGGACTCGAACTTGTGAAAGGAAGACTTCCCTGCAATTTAAGACATCGAGAATTTCGGGCTGTTGGGCAGGATCCGTGAATCCTGCCTATCAGGATTTAGAGATCTAAATCTTTAGATTTAGATTTAGGCCTCCTCTCAAAAGACCAACAAGAGTGCCTGTAATAAAAGGCTGTATCTGTCAAACCAGTACCTGTCCTGAGTAAATGGAGTAGTTTCTCTTTTGTGTACAACCTCAGTTTAATGTAATTTTGCTCGAGCCACCCGGGTTTCAATGAATGAGTTCGTTAGTTTCTTTATTTTTTACTCCTTGGGATGGAATGGCTTCAATATAATTTCATTTTTAACTTTTGGTTGGTTATTTTGCATACCTTTGGCTGACTTCTCTAATGCCACTGCAATGGATGAAAGCCAACTTGATTTTGTAAAATTAGAGATAGCTCCAAAGTATCAGCTACATGCTTTGGACGAACTTTTATCTTCTGGTACAAAAATATAATGGATGATTTTGGGCCAGTCACATACACTCAAACCAACCCACTTTTGTAGGATGGTTGTTGGGAGGAGAGGGAATAGGAGGAAGGAGTACTATGTATATTTGCTGCCTTAAGTTACTGTACTTAAAAAAAATAAAGAGATTAAAAAATCTAATAAGGTTAGCAGTTATAGCTATTAATAAATAAAAATGTAGATAGCTACCATAAATGTCAGAATTAAGTAAAAATATGTTTAACAAAATTATATAAGAGTAGAGAAACACATATAGTAATAGGTAGGGCAAGGCTGTCAAACTTGCAGCCTGGATGCGTCACAGCTGGCCACACCCACACCCGATGATGACACAAGTTTGACACTCCTGGGGTAGGGTTATATTGAAACACTGAAAATTAGTTCTCAGGCTATATCAAAATGGAGCAGTGCAGACCCTGATAAATCTGAGCCTTGTTCATATGTTGAATCACACTTTATAGTTACAACCAGGTTATTGTAATACCTGGCAGTAAGTGCTGGATTCTTTGTTTTCTGAGGTGTGTGTGTGTGTGTGTGTGTGTGTGCCTTGCCCTTCTGGTAACCCTGTTTGTCATCTTGAGGAAAAGTGATACAATTGTTCTAAGAAAGAAAGCATTTGATTTTATCTCTAACCTCATAATTTAAACCAATCACATTGAAGTCTTGATTATCATAGATTGATTCATTGATATTGGGAAATTTTCAGTTTGCTTGTGTTGATCATTGGGGCCTTATATCTATGAAACATGCTGAAATAATATAATATTAAGTATCTCTAAATATTCACAGCTGTATATGAAAACTGTAACAAAAAGGATTTTAAAACAAAATTTATTTCTTATAGTAACTATTTTGAGTGAGAACATTTGGGGAAGAAAAAAATGACATCAATTATCAAGCTAACAACCCTCTCAGGGGTTCAGGAAGAATCCGCTCTCTGCTACTTACTTCAGGTAGATGAGTTTCGCTTTTTGTTGGATTGTGGCTGGGATGAGAATTTTTCTATGGACATCATTGATTCCCTGAGGAAGTAAGTAGAATCTGACTCAGTTAAAGTGCTGAACCCTTGAAAAATGTACTGCAATGCTTTTTTGTTATAGCATATTTATATAACATAAAGCACTTTTGTTTAAATTATTAAAGTTTTGGTACAAAATTATTTGTATCAAGAATTTTTTTTCTTACTATATATTTGCTAAGCATAGGTAAAATAGTTCTACTTTATATTGACTTTTGAATTGCTTTACTTAATAACATAAAATGTTCATGAAGACAGGGACAACAATTGCAGAATCAATCTGCAAAGAATAGTCTGTGCTACTTTTTAGGTTGGAATTACATTTATTTTCTTATAAATGCAAGAAAAGTGTTGCGATGATGGAACAGTTTATTGTACTTCTCAAATACAGAAACAATGCCATTTGATCAGAGTTCCCAGTGTGGAGATTTTGCATGTATTTGATAAGGGTAGATCTACAGAGGAAGATTTTCATTAGCTTTGGTTTCTTGAATGTATACTCTAATAATGTAATACATGTAGACTTTGCATTTCTTTGCATAATCTTTAGTCTTGGATGACAGAATCAGCAAAATTTATTAAAAGATAATTTTTTTGATGTTTTGAACATTGTTCTCCAAATTCAATTTCATCACTACAACTACTACTAGAAGTTTTTTGCAGTAGTCCTTTTAAATGAAACATGGAAGCAAAAGCTTGATTTCTAAGTGTTTTTCTATGTTGACTGATTTCTTCAATTCACGAATGCTTTTAGTGCAGTTGAATATCCTGTTATAGACAGCTAGTGCAATTTTGCTGATATTCCCTTTTGTTTGAATATATTGTTCTCTAAAGCATATTGGGAGAGCAGGACATTAGAGACTACCAAGATAACATCTTTCTATTGAAAGCATTTTCCCATCTATTGAAGGGAGCATTTTTTGAGAAGAGCTTTTTTCATTGGAAATTCCTCCTTAAAAATAGATACAAATTTTATTTTAGATTAAAAGTATCAGTTCTCAAATGATATACACTATACTGTCATTGAAATAGGTGTTTTTTAAATAGTGAAATTTAGTGTTTTATCCCCTTGTTCTTGTTTTGTAGACATGTTCACCAGGTTGATGCAGTACTTCTTTCACATCCTGATCCTCTGCACTTGGGTGCTCTCCCATATGCAGTAGGAAAGATGGGGTTGAACTGTGCTATTTATGCAACTATTCCTGTATACAAAATGGGTCAGATGTTCATGTATGACCTTTACCAGGTAAAGCTCATGTCTCAGTTTTTTGAGAGGTATGATTTTAAACTTTCTCCCAATGCGGCTAATTTTAACTGAGAATATTTTCTTTTTCTTTTCTTTTGACTAGTCACGCCATAATACCGAAGATTTCACCTTGTTCACTTTGGATGATGTGGATGCAGCTTTTGATAAAATACAACAACTAAAATTTTCTCAGATTGTCAATTTGAAAGGTGAAAAAGAACACTCTTAAAGTCAGTGTTATATCCTGTTATTTGGGATTTCTGTTTCTTTTTTCTGAAATCTAAATCTTCCAGTTTTAAACTTAGCAAGTGGTTATACAATTGCATGATGTCAAGCTAACTGAAGTACATAATATTCCTTTTTTTAAAAATTTATCCTTTCCTTGTCTCTGATCCCAGATTTGATATTGATTTGTGACTACATAGTCCAAACCACTACTTAATCTAAAAATGCTAAAATCCTGAAATGTTTAGATATATATAAAAAAAAAATCAAGGGGAAAGGCCATAAGAGGTGCAGTCCAAAATCATGTTCCGTGAATGCATGGAAGATCAACTAATAACAAGATGGGAGAGGGAGTAGCTATAACAACTCTTGATATAAGGCTGTGTGAGGCCTTAGAATCATTGGACATCAGGAGGTGAATCAGTGATGGATAAGAGAAAACATACGGGAGTAAGGAATGAAGAATTGCTAGAATCCTGATCAGAAGTACCCCATGTGGCCACATTTTATTGCAGAATTTTATTTTATTTTCTTAATATCAGGAGACAGATTGTTGTTCCATGAGCCTGTTCATTATTTTCATAATACTTGTATGAAAGGTTTTCCTTTCCATTTTTCTTTAAAAGTAGGTTCTGTTGTTATGAATTGCATTAGCAAAAAAATAAATTAGAAAAAATAATATTTTAATACATTGTATTAGTAGGAAGAATTGAAGCCAAGTTATGTCGTGGTGGGAGGGGGTGTTGCATTATCTATTATGTAATTAGAGTGTGTATATAAAATTATGTTTTTTCTTTAGGTAAAGGGCATGGTTTGTCAATCACTCCACTACCAGCAGGCCACATGATAGGAGGTACAATATGGAAAATAGTTAAAGATGGAGAAGAGGAAATTGTTTATGCAGTTGATTTCAACCACAAGAGGGAGATGTATGTACACAGATGTTACTACTTTCCTATTACAGCTTCTTAACATTTCTGGTGTCTAAAGACACTCGGTCGTGGATGGTTTTGTGAGTGAAAATAGTCTTTTAAAATCAAGATTGTATTTCTGGTGATTTAGTGAACATGCAAATAAAATTGTCTTGGCAGTAGTGTGAAAGTAGTTGGCATAGCCTGGGGAGAACTTCCCATGTTAGTTTGAGGCTGTGATATTTTTGGAACTTGCACACCTGGTTTGTCTTAGTTGCAAGTGGAAAAATCAATGAGTTGAAATCAGTACTACAGAGGACCCTTATTTACTTATTCTTCCATACTTCATAATCTTAAGAATCCTGTATATGTGCCAGGGTTTGCACATGCAGAAATTAAATTTGAGGGTAAGGAAATCTGAAGTAATTCCTGTTTTTAAAATTACTAGACAATGTTTAAAATGCATTAAGAAATGCATAATGTTCCTCAATCAAAGATATCCTCCTACATTCTGCAATGCCATTGTTCAGTTGTCAGTTTCAAAATAAATTCTGATCTGAAGGAGAAAAGATGTTTCACATGAGGATTCTCCTGC